TGTGAGATAAAGATGCACTTGATGCCTGTCATAGATATATAAAGGGATATGTAGTGAATCATATCAACATAAACGACATTGTTATGCAACCTCTCTGGTTAAATCACCAGTTTTGCAACACATATTTGATAATCAATAACTGGTTCAAACAAGGAATTGTTAATATTAAAGACATTTTCAATGACCAAGAGGTACTCTCATTTGCAGAACTTAAAACAAAATTTGATATTAAGGGCACAGTACTTGACATAAATCGTGTCATCGTCAGTATTCCCCCAAAATGGAAAGAAGTCATTCAAACTGCTGGACACCCAAACATAACAAAAGTATCGATAAGTTCCCCATGGAATGATCTTATTATACCGACTAAAGGATATAGATTAGTTTACGAGTCTCATATCGAAATCCAATTTTCTAACGTATGCGATAAATGGGAAAGTGAAGTAAACGATCATATCGATTGGAAGACCATATTTGTGCAATATAGACTAACCATTAAAGACCCAAAGCTTTTTGGATTTTCAATACAAATTTATTAATAGAGTTATTTATACATTAAAATGAAACTAGTTGATAATGACATATGTATATCGTCTGACGTAAGTGAGAATATTTATCATGTATATATTGAAAGTCCCATCATTAGATTATTCTGGAAAGAATTCACCGGTTTTGTTAATTGTGTCCTGCAGAGAACATTCGTACTCTCAGCTCAAGATATACTATTTTGTGCGAATAGCGACCCCTTGCTCAACCACATGATCATACTAGCCAAGCGCCACATTTTTTTGTCAGGAATATCAAGGGTGTGAAACCAAGTTTCACCACATATAAAGGGTTATTAAAAGATGTGTATGACATTGAGAAATATATTGCCAGAAACAATTTCAATATGAATTTATTTGAGAGAAAATGGATTAGGCTCCAAAATGTTCTGTGATTATGACAATGAAATAGTTCTACTCAAGTGTATCTGCGTTTGTTCCAGTTTTACATATTTATTTCCCAGTGAAATTGAAACAAAGTGACATGCCATTTCTCATAATATATCATTACAAAACTATGTCCACGGATTGTTTCATACAAAGTGTATCCAAGTGAAGTGAATAAAAAATGTAAAAAAATAGTATGTGAGATAAACACATTCGTAAAACCGCCCATTCTACTGAAATAGCTCATCCAAAAGCACAATGACAGATGACATATTCCAAACTGTGATACTTGTCCATGTCAAGATCCCGAGAATTCTGTAGGCTATAAGAGTTCATCAGAATAGATTTGGGCTCTTACGGTGCCTGATCGATCTGCCTAATCTTATGGGAAATCGATCTCTGAAGTGTCTACTTTTAAGAATGGTGGTTGCTTATCAAGAAAGGAAACTATCATTGTAAACGAAAAGTTCTAGAATACTTGTCTTCTTCTATCTATAAATAAGTAAACAATACATTGCACACCAAAATAATTTCAGTAGGTACAGTGGAAGCTGTATAATCCGACACTCACTGGGACCGGGGGAACATGTCGAATTATACAGCGTATCGGATAATTCACTGTCTCGTTGCTTGAATACTTTTCAAACAGTACCATACATTGTAACTGGCTTCATGAAATTAATGTTTGATAGCTATTTACTTGGTGAATAAAGGGAAAAAAAACAAAATCAGTATTTACATACACATGTATCATTGGTATTTATTCTCTTCAGTACAATGTACATACCATGCGGACTACCCACTCACAATCACATTCACACTTTCATGAAAAAGTCCTCCATTGTATCCATTGACAGGTTGATTGGCTATTTTAGTCTAATATAGGGAGAGGGTGTCGGATTGTACAGCGTGATAGTGTCATTGTTACCAGAAAATGGTGTCGGAATTCTGAATGTACAGATGTCAGATAATTCAATATTAATATGATGATAATATAGCAGAACGCTGTCGGGGCCCAAAAATATATGTCGGAATAAACAGATTGTCGGATAATTCAGAGTCCACTGTATAGTAAATCAATCTCAGAGTTTTTGACTATTATTGTTGGCAATTTGGCGGGATGTAGGTTTTAAAGGGGATATAGATATGTTCGTGTATTCCTGAGTTAAGTCACCCGTGAAGGTCCGGGATAGAGTTGATCTTCAGTAACCCAATCTTGTCTTAAGAGGCGACTAACGGGATCGGGTGGTCAGGCTCGCTGGCTTGGGTGACACATGTCATCGGTTCCCAATTGCGCAGATCGATGCTCATGCTGTTGATCACTGGATTGTCTGGTCCAGACTCGATTATTTACAGACCGCCACCATATAGCTGGAATAGTGCTGAGTGCGGCGTAAAACAAAAATCACTAAGTTAAGTAAAAGTAGTATATCTAAATCTTTACAGTGCAGTTAAAAGCAAAGCCATGTGTAGGCCAGCAGCAAATGGCTGGTTGGTCACGGAAGCTATATATTGTGGATGAGTGACCATACATGTACTGTACATACCATACAATTGCTGTACTATCATGTAATTGCATATTTGACGCCGAATAAAGTGTTGTGGACCCGCTTAGGAACTTCTGTGTTTAAGGAGACAGATAGCCCAACTAAACAGCCCGGGATACAATTGAATGTTACACATGATTGGATTAAAGTATTTGATTTCAAAAGTAGGTCCAATTCATATATTTTTATCAGATTTGTTGAGGCAAGAGCATTAGGATTTTACTGGAAAGATACATGTACTGTCATTTTTATATCAGTTCAGACTGCACACACTGCAATTTTGAAATATATACCCCAATGTATTAGGCGCGTTCGCAGCACATGAACCTGCGACCCACTGCATTTTATAGATTGGGTGAAGCACGTGCTTTACATGTGCATTCTAGTATGATCGACTGTTTGAGCTAAAAGTTTTAAAATTGCCCTTAGTTTCAGGTTGTGCTTAATTAACGGTCATGTGTATATTTAGTTACAACACGTATACTAGCTACAGATGTTGATAAGGCGTTTAACATGGGCCTTAAAAGACATGTACATCTCAAAACGGCATGGCAGTTTACCCAATTCTAGAAAAAGCTGAATAGTACACTTTATTTTAAAAAAGCAGAACCTTATCTTTCACAAAGTAAGAGTAACACTTTCTCGATTTGGCTGTAGATCATACGATGGTTTTAAAGATAAGACAATGATAAATGTGTACAATAACGAACTTTTTACTTTGTGTTGTATGTATTAAGATTGAATATAATCAGCCAAATGACATGCTAGTAATGACAATTTAAAGAAAACCGGTAAATAAGTCAAACATTTTTACATTTAGTGTAATTTTCAACACTTTTGGATGGAACAGTGATTCCATTCGCCGACGTTGTTCCATTGTGCTTTATTTAGTGGTGATATGACGCCGAAGTTGCTATAAGAGATCTAGTCTTAAATAATAATAACCACTCCACCTTTTAGTGCTTCGTCGATCATGTGTGTTTCTTTCTGTTTGTATTATTCGGCTGTTGCTGCATTTTGATGATTCAGACGATGAGTTACACAATAGCACCATATTTATGATGGGCATGCATAGAAGATTACTATTGCATAAAATCCATTTGCATACACCGAATATTATCATTACGTGAAATCCCTAGAAAGTTTTTGCTTTCTCACTTAAACTAATACGAGACTAATTCAAATACAACATGGACGCATCACACAAATACACATAAGTACATACCACATACACACAAACTCATATGCTTTTGTGTCTGATTATCTGCCATAGCAAGTCGGCAAATTTTAACAAGATTTCTGTATCGTTGAGATGTCTACTGACGATAGTCGTGTCTTGAACGACGGCCGGGTCTCTGTAGGGAGCGAACACTCTCAAACTTTGACACTGATGTTTCAACGTTACCGACAGGAGACTCGCTGTCGCCCCACGTAAATATATTGCCCCCAAATAACGTGGAATTAAAGGGGTTGGCGGGACATTAAAGGAACACCGGCGAGGGGTCAGGGAATTTAGGAGAAACAGAAGACCTTGGGTAATCTGTCGCTTATGTCGGTCACATGTTAAGGTTGAAGACCTCAAGTGCGCAGTCGTATGAAAATCTTGTCAGATTCAGAACGCATAGAGGTGGCACAAGAGAGGAGTAAAATCATTGAGAGATATGGATGACTTAGGTCGAGTTATGTTACTAAAGCATAAACCGCCGTCATGCGAGTTCGACATATCTGAGCGGATTCTGATTAGAGGACAGGTGACACCCGGCTCGGGTCATAGGAAGTAACAGGAAGACGACCATTTCCATAGTCATAAGAAATCCATTACTCCACCACACTGGGGAGCTCGCCACAAACGCATAGAGGCAATCGTTTCACTTAAACATATGAGGTGCGGGTTGGAAAAAGGGGCTACATTTGGCATGCTGACATAGGTAACTGCATCGAACATCATTTTGGTCAAATTTGGAAGTCTTAGATGAAACATAGCTTCGCTAGGGCCATGACGGATTCCAGCAGTCAAACATATTTCTCTGTAAAGCCAGACTATTACGGGACCGTTCATAATGGACAGGTGTGTGTGTGTGTGTGTGTGTGTGTGTGTGTGTGTGTGTGTGGTGATGATTTTAATGGAGAAGCATGTACAATGTGAATGACCCCCCCCCCTCCCTGAAATTTATGTACAAAATAAGTGACCCCCCTGCATGTCATGTACAAAATCAATGACCCCCCTCCCATAATTTGTAAGCATAATTTTAAACATATTTTTAATGTACAAAATTGCTGACCACCCCTAGCTCCCCAGAACAAAATGGGTGAACCAACCGATAGAGGAGGCGTTTAAAAATCGAGTGACTGAACGCATGAGCGTCTATGCATGTGACCAGACATAATGGAACCTATGTATCTGGGCCTGACGACCCGTTCTACGGTCCTATAAGTATGACCTACCTGACACCAATTCTGACAGGGACCGACACCGTAGATACACATGGAATAACTGAAGGACAGCAATGAAAATGAGAAATGTGTATAACAGTTTTATTCAGTACATGAACAAAATGTCCTGAAGTTATGGACAGACGTTCAAGTGATGGACGGCAGAAGTCACACATAACATTCGTTATGATATCTACATGTAGAACAATTCAAAATAAATATTTTCTTTAAACATAGGACTGAATAAGATTATCTTTAGGTGAAGACATTGTGGGACAGAATATAGCAATATCACTGTCAGCCCATATATGACAGACAACCGGATATGATCCACAGATGTAACTTCATTGTGACCTTTCTGCAAAGGCAATAGTTTCATAAATGTGTGATTGTAATAGCAGCGTTATAATCTATAATTTAGATGCCATCTATACATAGCACATTCATATATCTATGAAGATCCATATAAAACCTCAGCTGGTTTCTAAAATTACCGCATACATGTATTTACTTCACAGATTCCCAGACCTGGTATTTCAGTGTGGCATAATCCTTTGGGAACTCATTTTTCTTGCCGTTGGATAACAAAATAACCTGTTTCTTACCACAGACATAACATAACTGTTTGTTACATTCTGTTTGTTTAAAAAACAACAACCAGATAACTGTCTTCACACAAACATGAACATATTCTGATACATCATTCACAGTTCTGCACAAGTGTACATACACATGTTGCAATATGCAAACATACTCTTTTAGGACTTGCATTACCAACACAGTATTTTGTCACATAAACAAGCCTGGTTAGGTCGTAATTTACAATTAAGCAATAAAGTTGCTTAAGTGGCCAAACAATAGACTGATGTCATCTGTCGTATCATTTTTCAGAGAATATAACTGGCACCTTAAACCGAAACTGGGAAGATACTTGCGTCATAAAGACATACTTACATTCACTCCTACCCAGGTAACTTCAATCCTATTGTATTGTATCACATTAACTAACTCCCCTAACATCAATGCGTTTGTGATGCACTGTATATTTACTGTTGTTTTTAAATACTGATTGGTAAGGCATAACACAAACATTTGAATGTATTTTGAAAGATCTGTTGGCCTCTCCTAAACATAAAGTTGAGCCTGTGATACAACCATAATTCTGTTCAAAGCAACAATATACCTACTCACTCTTAAAATACTTTTCTGTAAGTATAACCTTTCTTGTAATTCTATTTCTTTGTAAAAGTAAATCAGAAACTGAAATCTGTTCTATCATTTCACAGACGTTTGCCTTAGATTGTGTAGGTTAACAAACCAAACACCAGTATTTCTGTGGAAAATACTACACTACTTCTCTATGAACAAACTTTATGGATATTAACTTTTTATTTTGTGAGTGCGACATTTTGATACTGATTCTTGTACCCTTGTCATTTCTGCTTGACAGCCGTACAAGAATCTGTATCTAAACGTCACAGTCACAAAATATAAGAAGTTGTAATCCATAAAGTTTGTTCATATTGTACTTCCCAAATTCTAAAATGCCACTCAAAGAAGTTATACACAACTGTTGCATGTGCAAAGACAAACTGCACACTTGTGAACAATACATGACATACTAACATACATAGTTCATGACTATCAATAGGAACTTATGGAAAATATATAACACCTCCATCCAATGTTCAACTTAAGAAAGTTACATATGATTCTTATGCACAATTCCAAAACTATTTCATCTTTGATAAAGAGAAAAGTTATGATAAAATATTCATAATATTTATCCCGATCATAATCAGAGCAATACTCATTGCACTGTCACAGATTATGCACTTAATAAGGAACACATAAAATGGCATGAAACATTTGAAAGTATTACACGTATTACCAAAATGTGGAGATTCTTTATAACAGACATTTGAAAATGCACAGGATGTAGTCTGGTGACCTTGAACTTGAATAAACCAAAGTTAGAATGTATTCAAACCAGTCACCAATAGTGATGTTGGTTGCATAAACGAAATATGATCAGAGGACTTGGTATAAGACATTTGATAGTGTGGATGTGGGACTGGATACAAGCATCACAAACATCTGAAGACCTACAGACATGTTCATCAACAACCAGTCATCTGAAACAAATGTTCCATCATAGACCCTGCTTCACCATCTGTTTACAAGTAAGCTCCGTTCATAAACATTTCTGACACAAAAATACACACAAAATGTACCGTATTTACAAGATTTTACAACCGACAGCAATAAATGACATATGAAAATACACTCCAACTTTAAATATAATAAAATTGTGACATGTACAAAATGTACATCCAGTGATCAATATATACACGTGTCATAGCCATTAGCAATTTGTAGCAGAACATAGAGGAATGAGAGTCTACAAAATAATTTTAAAAAACCCTCAAAATAGCAAAAACCATTTCATAGTACAAAAAGGAACCTATAAAAGGTGAGTTTTGTGACAGCAAAAATATTCAAACAAATCATATACATTGTGTAATTGGATCCAAAATATCATAAAGATAACATTGTCATTATCTTCTAACATCACCTTTAGAAAAAATACAAAATCAACGAGCACAATGAGAACATTAGTAACTTAAAACCCACATCAGTATGGTATGAACATGTAATGTACTCAAATTCTGGACGGATATCTCTGTAGCAAGATTCAGATCAGAATCTTGGCATGTGATAAATTACACAGCTTGTTATAAAGAAAATGTCGGTGAAATCATCAATGCTTCTTTCTCAGAGTAATGACATTGCTAACGATGATGGTCCAATTTCAATGCTCTTTAAAAAGACTGATTAAGATAAAGGAGTTTGAAATAATGAACCTTTTATATATCTATCAATCAAATTTGAATTTTATTTCCTGTTTTTACATCATTACTGATCTAATCATCTTGAATTTACAGGGCATCATGATCACAAGCTGACAGTAGGCCATTTATCCTTATCGGAGTAGTAATCATTATTATATTCTAGTATTTTTAAAAAAACCCATGTATACATGAAAAAATGGGTCCATATCTCCAAGAACTATTGAAGTCACAAACAGATTATTGATTACCTCAAGTTTCAAGTTTGGTCCTGCCAATATATTAAACATGATCATTGCAGCAAATGAATAACAAATATTTGAGACTTTCATTTAGAAGATCTACATGAAGTGCACCACATAAGACTATAACAATGTCCTGTTCACCTCTAAAATGATTATCTGTAAAAATAGTACAGATTTGAATTTCATGTGTATTGCCATTTTACAATGCCATGAAATTGAGATGTGCTTTATTGCTACAAGGAGAAGCTGTGTATCCAGATACCACAAAGCTCCTGGGTACCCACAGATGCAAATCTTGCATACTAAGACATAGATTTATACAAATGGCTAACATTTTCAAATCCTTGTCCTGCTAAGGTGGAAAGATTTTCTAAAACTGTGCTCACCAGTTTGAAAATCAAGTCCTTTAATGTCAGTTCACTTAATAACTGGGCAAGTGGCATTGGATTTCTAATATGCGATGAATGCACAAGTTGTACTTTTAATATCAGCACATATTACATTTTTTCCAGTCTAGTAAGGAAACCACATGCAAGCTTTCAGTAAAACAGACTTGGTTAGGTTTGTGGTTAATGAAATAATGTGGCCACAGGACAAAATCTTCATCACAAACCATCCACTCTATCACAATAATCTGATGAGATCATAAGCTGTCACTATAACCATTCTGCTCTTTGTGTGGACACTTCCTATCTTGGCACATATTCTTTGAGGTGAAGTCAAGCATCCACATCTATCACCTGAAACAAATAGAGACACGCCAGATCAAAATTGAGATGACAGGTGACATGTACTACATATTCACTGAAGGCAAAGGCCAGAGGCAGACTGTCCACTGGGCCTGTTAGCATGTCCCTTTCACAATTGTAAGTGATGTTTTAATGTGAAGGTTTCAGGTTACCATCAGACCCAGAATATAACATTCACTGGAAAATATGTGTAATGATGTCTCGTGGTATGATTAGCAATCAATGTGCAACTAAAACTTGCTTATTGGGCAACTCAAACTATTGTTTCTTGGGTAACGCGATCTCTTGTTTGTTGGGCAACCCATGCTCATGTTTGTTGGGCAACCCATGCTCTTGCTTGTTGGGCAACTAAAGCTCTTGCTTGATGGGCAACTAAAGTTCTTGCTAGTTGGGCAACCCATGCTCATGTTTGTTGGGCAACCCATGCTCATGTTTGTTGGGCAACCCATGCTCTTGCTTGTTGGGCAACTCAAGCTCTTGCTTGTTGGGCAACTAAAGTTCTTGCTAGTTGGGCAACCCATGCTCATGTTTGTTGGGCAACTCAAGCTCTTGCTTGATGGGCAACTCAAGCTCATGTGTGTTTGGCAACTTGAGCTCTTGTTTGTTGAGCAACTCTTGCTGTTAATTGGGAAACTTGAGCTGTATAGATGAACACTGCAATTGTACCACTGGTCCTGATTAAATTATACAAGCATTTGCCCAAAGCACCAGTGTATTGCTGAACACTGTATATCTTCTGAGTTAGTTCATATCATTGTCTGATATTACTCAACTACTATGCCATGATATTTCCACACCAGAATGTAGTGATAGATCAGTTGGTGTGCTTGAATGGCACAGACTGACTGGTGCAGTTGTCTTTAGCTCCATTCATTGAAGCAGCAAAACATCTGTGGCAGTATTTCAGCGCCAACTTCATAAAAATATTGCAGTGTATGCAATCGTCTAAAAAAGAAAGGCATGTCACTCTAGCTCATCTGCGTATGTAGTCACTCAACAAAGGATGATGTCAGTGTTGATATTCAGATACTCTCTGTATAAATACCATGACTTCAACCAAATATGACCTCATCACAAGTAACATACCAAACAGTTTAGCTTCTTCAGTCTAGACAAGTGTATAGCCGAATGTTGCCAAAAATTGAAACATTCCCCACCACCAAAAGGTAACAATACTTTCACAAGTAATTTTACTGAAAGTGTCACAAAATGGATACAGAGAATACTGATATGTGAGCCTATCATAAGGGATTTGAAGTGCTACATCTATTAGTTCATATCAAAATGCCATCAGCATATCCTGAATGACCTGTGACATTCTGGTATGTGGCCTATGGCATTCTGGTATGCTGGTACATGACCTATGACATCCTGGTATGTGACCTTTGACATCCTGGTATGTGACCTATGACATGCATGGTATGTGACCTATGACATCATGTATAGTATGTGACCTATGACATCCTGGTATGTGGCCAATGACATCCTGGTATGTGACCTATGACATTCTGGTATGTGACCTATGACATCCTGGTATGTGGCCTATGACATGCATAGTATGTGGCCAATGACATCCTGGTATGTGGCCAATGACATCCTGGTATGTGACCAATGACATCCCGGTATGTGACCTATGACATCCTGGTATGTGACCTATGACATTCTGGTATGTGACCTATGACATGCATGGTATGTGACCTATGACATCCGGGTATGTGACCAATGACATCCTGGTATGTGACCAATGTCATTCTGGTATGTGACCTATGACATGCATGGTATGCGACCTATGACATCCTTGTATGTGGCCAATGACATCCTGGTATGTGACCTATGACATCCTTGGTATGTGGCCAATGACATCCTGGTATGTGACCTATGACATCCTGGTATGCGACCTATGACATCATGGTATGTGACCTATGACATCCTGGTATGTGGCCAATGACATCCTGGTATGTGACCAATGACATCCCGGTATGTGACCTATGACATCCTGGTATGTGGCCAATGACATCCTGGTATGTGACCTATGACATCCTGGTATGTGACCTATGACATATGACATGCATGGTATGTGACCTATGACATCCGGGTATGTGACCAATGACATCCTGGTATGTGACCTATGACATTCTGGTATGTGAGCTATGACATGCATGGTATGCGACCTATGACATCCTTGTATGTGGCCAATGACATCCTGGTATGTGACCTATGACATCATGGTATGTGACCTATGACATCATGGTATGTGGCCAATGACATCCTGGTATGTGACCAATGACATCCTGGTATGTGACCTATGACATGCATGGTATGTGGCCTATGACATCCATGGTATGTGACCTGTGACATCCTGGTATGTGACCTATGGCAACTGGTATGTGACCTATGACATCCTGGTATGTGACCTCTGACATGTATGGTATGTAACGAATGACATCCTGGTATTTTATGAGGTCTATGTGTTCCTGATTGGCTGACAATAGAGTTGGGTTTCCTGTTGTTCTACATCACCCCTGCTCATTAGTATCACTGAATACACTTATCTGTCTGCAGTTTTACATGTTAATGACAAAAACAGTTTGCTAGCAAAATGAAACAAAACTGTAACACTTAAATAATCAATTAAACCAAAGTTATGTGTGGTCATAGATTATTCAATGGGTGAAGATACCTAAAGGTACCACACAAATTCAGTTCACCCTATGAAGTTCAGTTAATCATATCATCTTTTGTGAGCCCATCTGAACTTGTAGCTGGGACATAATTCAAAGGAGTCTTACAGGATTTCCTGTGACTCATACAACAAGTATTCCGATGATACCCTGTTACATATCTTGATGGCTACCTCAACCTACAGGAAAATATAACATTTCATCTAAGTTGTTTGACATATTGCATAAAGACAACTGTACATTCAAGAACATGGTTGGCCCAGACTCGATTATTTACAGACCGCTGCCATATAGCTGGAATATTGCTGAGTGCGGCGTAAAACTAAACCAACTCACTCACTCATTCACTCAAGAACATGGAGTACAAAGTTACATCTTAAATGCACTAAAAATACAGAATTCTTAAAAGCACAAAAAAATATAGAATTGTCAAATGTCCAGTAAGTCAGTGACAAATCATCTGCCTCTATTTATAAGACCAGCTTTGGGGAAGGCCATGCTCTTATTTTAAGCAGATGACTTTCACAAATCTTAAGTTATACTACTGGAAGTTAAAACATTGGAAATGTTAAACAAAACAGTGCAGTTGTGAAATGTATAAACAGTTTCAATAATTAGAAGAAAATTATTTTCAGGTTTTCCCCAAATATGAAATTTAGCGGTCCATAAGGTCCAGAATGAGATCTTGATTACGACAACTCTTGGCAATGAAATTTGTTAAAAACATCTTTATTATGGGCCAAAGTTATTCATATCTGCATGACTTTACAAAAGCTGGTAGTTTGAATGCACATGGTTACGATTTGATTTCTCACATAATGATTTACAGTTACCGTATTTGCCACAATAAACTGAGTTGCTGCTTAGAAAAGTTGATAGATGCACCTAATACAAAACACAGATTGAACAGTTATGAACAAGACTCTCTTTTCATGTTGATGAAGCTTCTTCAATGACAATTACGAGGCTATCATATTTATAAAAACAAAAACAACAAACAGAGAAAACAGAAGCAGTGCAGAAGGAGTGAGTGAGTTTAGTTTTTAAGCCACACTCTGCAATATTCCAGCTATATTCCAGCTATATGTGTAAATAACCAAGTCTGGACCAGGCAATCCAGTGATCAACAGCATGACCATTGGTCTAGGGGTGCTGAAGTCTGGGGTGCTGGACACTAAATACGGCAAATATGGTATGAGCATTAAGGATAAGCGACACTCCAAAAGACATGCTTCTCAATCTTGAACATTTAAAATTAAAAAGAACAGAAATGGTGCAGAAAGTAATTTTCTCCCTTTTCAAACCACTCCCGAAGATGATCCATATGAACGCATCACCACAATAACTGTAAGTTCCATTGACTTCCGCACATATCTATCTTCAGACATCCTAACTGTTTCACTGACTTTTCTCAATACTTACTTATGTACTTCTAGCAACTAAAGAAAGCAAGTCCTAATCTTGAATGGCATAATACTGCATCACCAAACACCATCCCGCTCAATTTACGCTGGAGCTTGTGATTGATTATGAGACGAAATGTGCAACTATGTACAGGGCTGTGAAAGTTTCCCTTTGCATGAAATGGGAGGACTGAGTGATCACGATGAATACCTCTCATCACAAACCCCATCAAGGAGGGTGCAGACTTGGAAACATAGTATTACATTTTACTACTTGAAATTTTCCATCTGCCTTCCCTCATTCATGGAGAAACTGAGAATTGAATACAGTTGCTCATATGTTGCGGTTGACTTTTTTCAACTAAGTGTATGGCTAGAACATGGTGAATGACTACAGGGTATTAAACACAGTGCGCCCACCACTTAAAACATCATGGGGGCAGTCAGGCGAAGTATCAGTCTTTCAGGTCCTGCTCGTGATAGAACTTCCCTCACAAATTATCGCCTACGATCTCTACACATAAATCCACACTTCCAGTGTTGTCACTCCATTCGCAGAACATGGCTTTTTCCCATCCCCCCAAATGAGAGATAACAATACCATCTTAATTGCTGTGGTATCAGGGGAATCTACACCTCCAGACTAGCACATCTGATCTCCCCTCACAGACCTCATCTGCTCCCTGAGTTTCAGATTATGTGCGCCTTTTGTTGTCTCCCTTGTGCAACTCTTCATGCTGCCCAATCGCTCCCTTCTCCCTCCGGCTGCACAGTTCCCGATCTACCTCAAAGACTATCGGGTGGCGTGCCCGGGTCATGAGTTGGACCCCGTGTATGATGACTGTCTAACACGCTTACATGCATACCCTGCTCAAGACATTACTCACAAGTCAGTGACACCAGTTTC